TACAGGATTGGACTACACCGACTCCTAGATTAGAAATAGGGAGTGAAGTGGTAGAGCATGTTGACCGCTTCACTTATTTGGGAAGTAGCATCAGCCCCAACGGGTTGATCTCCGACGAAATCTCAGTACGAACACAGAGGGCTAGTTTCGCATACGCCCGCCAGTTTACGCCGTCTCTGGCGTAGACGTGATATCCGACTATCGACCAAAGGGCGTGTGTACTGCTCAACAGTCTGCTCCGTCCTACTTTATGACTGTGAGACCTGGTCATTTGGAGCGGAAGACATGAAAAGATTATCTGTCTTCGATCATAGGAGCCTGCATTCTATCTCCCGTATGAAGTGGTATAATAGGGTGAGCAATATTGAGGTTAGGCCTCGGTCGAGTGCTAGGTAAGGGGGGGGGGGAAATCAATCGACGAGGCTGTGAAATTACATCGACTGAGATGGTTAGGACATGTGTTACGTATGCCTGGTCATCGCCTTCCTCGACGGTCAATGTTAGGTGATATAGGACCGGGCTGGAAAAGAGCTAGTGGTGGTCAGACCAAAACATGACACCAGTCAATGAAATCCACAACAGTTAGTTCAAGCCACGTAGGAAGGTGTAGACTTCCTGGTTGAGGTCCTCGGTAGGGTAAAAACCAATGGTTGGAAACAATTGGTGACATGGCTCAAAATCGTTCTCAATGACTGGCGCAGATGCATCCTCTCCTTGTGACTTATAACACCCAATGAAACTGTATTGTTCTTCGCTATTACTATCCCTTTGTCTCACACCTCTGTTTACTGTCTCTATTATGCATTTCTTCTACTTTCTTCTCTTGGTTTGTGTGTTACATGGAGTGTGGTGACTTTAACTGTTGCACTTCGGTGCAAAGTTCTATGTCGAAAACCGACCGACTGATGATGTATTTTTGAGGTTTTGTGTCTAAAATTAACCAATTTTTAAAATAATAGACAAGCTGTTTAGCTGTTTATTTTGAAATGTTTAGGCGTAGTTCCTAGTCATAATAATAACATTAATAATAATAATAATAATAATAATTTGCTTTATTCCAGAAACAGTACTAGTGGTACAGTGTGAAATTTTCAGCATTTACTGATGATACGCGCATTGATGATGAAGATGAGGCATTGAGAGTAGAAGTCGTATGTGTGTAGTCATCATTGTTTGAACTCAGTCACCCAGGACAGATTTCTCATGTATCAGACTCTGAGCCACACTTATTGCGTGACGTTTGACGTGATACTGTCAAGTTGTTGACGCGCTTCACTAGGTGTAGCAGTGATATGCAAACTTGAGACCCATTGGTTAAAAGTCGAATGCTTAAGCGAATGACTCACTTCTCCGCGTACTTATCACTGCATCATGCTGGTTCAAGTTGTGACACCTTAATTCTGCACAGGATTATTATTTTATTTTATTGGAACACAAACTTGTTACATTATGGGCACACAAAATCGGGTCATTTGTGTGAGGGCTGAGATACTGCCCGGACGTCTTTGGGACCTAAGCAGGTGGTTGTCTTAAGTGACCACCTCCCGCAAGGCTTTGACTTGATATCAGATCCACAAGGCAGCATAGCAGCATCACGAGTTGTGTTCCCTTGGTTCCTGGTGACCCGAATAGATTCATATACCAATCGATCCGTTCGGATTCTGGAGGCAAGGTTTTCCAGTCCCTTCGCCTCCTAGGTAGACTAGCACCTCCACCAGTCCTGTTGTAAACATCACATGTGTTTGAGTTCATCCTTCCACTTTTGTGAAGAACACCCTCACTGTGTGAACGCAGTGGTAGGCTATGACCGTGTGGCCACGTGAGAGCATCTTGGCTAGGAAGACCGAACACTACCAACCCTCAGTCCTATCACGTCGATTATGTGGGCTGCAGACACATGAATTAGCAGGTAAGACGAAATAAAGACAAAGAGATGAGAATCGTGCTGTGTCACATGGGAAGAATAAATCTAATGAAGAAATAATACGTTTGAATACATCTTCATTGAAATAGATTTCCAGTTATGTCTCTGATGATTTTTAGCCATAGTTTCTTCCAGTCTGACAACATATTCAGTTGAAATTAACCGACAATAATCTCATTCTTCATTTTTATGCATTCTTATCTTATGTGAGAGGTGTTCATACAGACGTAGACTAATATTTGTTTACCTTTCAACTGTATATCGTGTGATTTTAGCATGAAAAATGTTTATTATCTTACTAAAAATATTAGAATGACTAATGTCTACAGGAATTTATAAGTTTGTGCGTATCTGTGTGTTTGGTCAAGCTGATATTTATAGATATGTAGGCATAGAGAGCTGTTACGATTTTTAATTCAGATGGTTATTCATAGTTGTGTGTGTGTGTGGAAGCCTAAACTGTGTGTTACTTCAGGAATTGGATAACAGAAATCTAACTTAAATAATGTAATACAAAGTAGTATTGAAAACGAAGATTTGTTAAAACAAGGTATATGTTGAAACTGGTATCTCCATATAGCCAAATTTCGTATACCTTATCTTCAAAGCACCATTTGCACAGATTTTCGTTTTTTGGTACTTCTGGACTTCATGTTGTGTCTCTTTGTGTTCCTTTCACTTCTCCAATGCATCTCCACAATGCTGTATCATTTGCCTTCTCTGAAATCAAATGTATTTCCCTGCTATTAGATGTTTTTATGCTGATGAACGTCTCTTTATATACTACTGATAAATCTTATCAGTAGCACTCGCCACAGTTTTAGCTGTCATAGCGATGTACTCAAAGTTCTTCAACCACTGAGTTGTGTTGTAAGGGGTTGATGAAATTCCGTTAATGTTTTAAAACCGTAGAATCAATGCTTTTATTATTATTATTGGTTTTTTGCATTCCATGTGGAACATAGGGTTGGTTTCAGCGGCTCATCTTCATTCCACTCGATTCTTTGCTATCACTTTCAGCTGGCTTCACAACTGCCCACTAGCTTTCATTCCCTCCTCACATGATCTGACTGATATCACTCTTGAACGCCCAACTCGTCGCTTCGCATTCGGATTCCACTCGACAGCCTAGGATATAGTTCTACCTGATAGTCTCATTAGAGTATTTGCTCACCATAGGTTTTTTGGGAACTAGATTCTTGGCTGGTTCATGGTCAAAGTTCCTTCCTGACTGACCACCTGGACTTTACTATCAAGCTGGCTATGGCAGCTGTCAATGAAAGTCTATGGTCTGTTGCAGTTGCCGTTGGTAACGCGCCCATTAATTCTGTGAATCATTATAAAAGCGCTGACTTGTCATTAGTGTTAAATAAAATTCGTATGTTGTTTTCTTGTGCTAAGTGCTGTGGATCTCCACACCGATTTTGGAGTGCAGAACACTTGAGTAACTTCCCTGATGTGCTTGCTTTAAATCTTCATCGTCATTTAAATATAACATAGTAAAATAGGGACTAAAAGGTGTAAGATTGATATAATTTTACCTTGCTAAGTTTTAGCCACAGTTTACTTACATTCAGTCAGTTACAGGTTCTATTTCCAATCGATTATGCAAATGTGTAGGACGCAAGCTGGCGTTACTAATTCTCATGGGACATCGAGCTTACTGTCTAATGTGTGTGTTTAGATGAACTTCAACCTTCAATCATAGTTAATTAATTTTTCATTTTCTTAGTGTTGGTTTGCAGGAATATGATTGGTTACATGCTTGATCGTGGGCTGAGATCAATCAGAGAACCAATGAAAGACCAGGGAGTACTAGACAGCTGTTTCGTTCTAGCTTGGGACTATCAGGCAATAAGCATCCACCGGGTGTCAGTTCCAGAACCTTGTGAGTGTAAGGCGAGCTCATAGACCATTCAGTCACTGGGAGCTGGTCCAGTGGCCCATGAATCCCATTTTCTATCAATCAATATGCAGTAACTACCATCTTGGTTTACTCCTCTGGTTACGACTTTTGTTGTTCAAGTTAGTTATTTAGAACTGACTTTTCATATGGCCGTGGCAGGCTATAAGCCACACTTGTTATGTAAAGACTGGCAATTATTATTTATTATTATTAATGTTTCCTTCAATTCCTAGAGGAACATAGGGTTTCAGCCGTGCGTCTCCATTGCGGTCGGTTCTCTTCTAGAGTCTTCACCTGGCTCCATGTCTGCCCACACGTTTTCATCTCCTCTTCACATGACCTCCTCCGAGTCACCCTTTCGGGTTCCACTCAAGCAATGGCTTGTCTAGTGATGTCACTTGATGGTTTGTTTCCTCAGAGTATGGCCAGCCAATCCACCTCCATTTCTTCCTGCCTATTTGTTTCCTGCTGAGTTGGTTCGCTCATTGCCAGAGATCTCTGTTGCTGATCGTTTCTGGTCGGCCATCTGATCTTGAGTGGTATTGAGCGAAGACAACTGTTAATGAAGGTGTGTAGTTTGTTTGAGATGCTCTTTATGACGCGCAGTGCAAGTCTCTGATCCGTATAGTGAGTAGCACTGACTTCACACTGGAGTTGAAATACCGGATTTTATTTTTGATGCTGAGTGCTGTTGACCTCCACACAGACTTGAGAGTGGTGAAATCTTGTCTTGCTTTCCCGATCCTTGCTTTAATATCCTCATCAGTTCCGTCTTCCTGTAGTTGAAACGAGGCTCCCCAGGTAGGTAAGAGAGGTTGTTTCTTTCAGGTTCCTCCCATTTATGCTGATCGTTGTCTGTTGTTGTTCTTGCCCAGGAACCTTCATCACATCTATTTTCTCTATGTTCACCTGAAATCCTATCTCTGATGACAATGCTATGCAGTTTTTCAGGTTGAAGTAGCTGGAACAAGACTCAAACCTAAGACCAATTAACTGAAAGTTGAGTCCTTAAATCAATGAGCCTTATATTTATATAAAGAAATATGTAATGCCCTTTTTGAAGTTGGCTACTGTATTATGACTGTCAATTTCTTCTGATTTGCGTATAATTCTGTTTCATAACACCTGATTGTAAGTCTTCTTGTTTTCATTTTTTTCGTTCTACAATAGGTCTGATGATCTACAATCTAAGGCTGGAAGTGATGCTGTTCAGTACTTGAGATTTCATACCTACTTAATCATTTATACTGCAATAACTACAGTTTTATGCTTAGTGGTCATTCTCCCGGTGAATATACACGGTACACTAAAATGTAAGTATTGTAGTTTTTCTATGACTAAATTTAGTAATTTAATCGTCTTTTGTTCATATGATATGATGTGTATATCACTGTAGAGCACTCAATCTTTTTTCTATTTGGAATGCCTTATCAATCACAATAGGCTGTCTGAACGAGTTTACTGTTCAATATATTATTAATCCGTCAAATGACTTTCATGCATGCTGTGTTTTTTATTTAACTCAGCTAAACTGAGCTGAGCTAATGAACAGCTCTGTTAAAGGCAGTAAGCGACAGATAGCTAGCTATTTCATCCTACTTTGCATCAACGATATCCTAGGGGACGAGTTTTTTCGGACTGTCAGGTGTTGTGCTGAATACTACACCATTTATCCAATGAATTGGAATCCGTTAGCGTAGCGCCGCGGAGTCCACTTTGAAGTCGATCGAGTTACCGATAACTTAAGGGAAGAATATTTGTTTGCTGTGTATCAGTTGCAGACCTTTATCAACAGCTGTCTCCGTTCTATACTCAAGATCAGATAGCCGGGAAGAATCACCAACAAGAAACTATGGGAACAAACAAAACAAGAACCAATCGCTCAACAAATATGCAGGAGAAAGTGGAGATGGATTGGACACTCACTGAGGAGGCCATTCGCTGGGTGACATCGCGCGTCAGGCTATAGCTCGAGTGGAACCCGAAAGGGAAGCGGCGAGTGGGACGTCAGTGCAAGGGTGACATGGAGGAGATCGTGTGAAGAAGAGTTGAAACAGTATGGACTAACATGGATGCAAGTCAAAAGTACAGGAGAAGACAGAAGCAAGTGGAGACGTGCAGTTGAAGCCCTATGTTCCACTAGGAATCCAAGGGAACAATAATAATAATAATTATGTATCAGTTGATAACAGAAGGATAGGTTTCTTGAAATTCACCTTTGAGAATTATCATAACCGATGAAGTCGTCCAAGTTGGCTGTAAGAATAGATACTCATCACTGATTATAGTAAATGGTGATTGTGCTGTGTCGCGCGACTTTACAGAAAGTGGGAGTCAAAAATACGAAAATTCTGACCAAGCAATGGTTTGGTAGCAATGTGCTTTTCTCAAAAGCTGACAATTCCAAGCTATCGAAAGTGGAAGACCTAAAGACGTTTTTTTCCTTCACGTTCCCCGGTGGAACATAGGGCTTCAATCTAGTGGCTTGAAGTTTCTCTAGCAGTGTTTATTTTTACAGGATGGGGTTGCTAGCCTCATGCCTAACCTTTCCTCTTTACCAGCATTATTTCTGGCTTAGCGAGGTAAATGAGTGCGCTGGTCGGGGATCGAACCCCGGACCATGTGCATGGTAGGCGAGCATCCTAACCGCTATGCCACCGACGCACTCCTAACCTTAATCTATTTCTCGTGTTTTTGTGGTATAGTATGGTGAGTAATACCGATGTTAGGCATAGAGTGTTACGTAAAGAGAGTAAGTAAATCGATGAGGTTGTGAAGCAGTATCGATTCATATGTCTGAGGCACTTATTACACATGCCAAGCCACCGGCTCTTTCGACAGGCAATGCTTAAGATTAGTTTGGAAAAGAGTTAGGAGTGGTAAAATCAAAACCTGACACTAATCCATGGTGTCTTTGACTGATAATTTGAGCCAGGCACGTAGGAAGACGGATGCTGCCTGATCGGGGTCGTCGGGATGCTAAGATCCAGTGGCTACCATGAACTACTGGTGATATGACTCAAAATCGTTCTTAGTGGTACAGATACATTCCCTCTTTGGGATCAAGTCAGATCCTTTAAGTTGTTATGGTTTCTCATGTCCCTATTCTTCCTCTCTTACAATTTTGTCCATTATAGTTCTTTTGGATTATCTTTTTTTTTTCTACTCTAAACCTCTACATTTCAATGTAAGGTTCTACATTAAAACTCAGCTAAATATCTCTTGGGGTAATGGAGTAGTATTGGTGAATGTTTTTGGGAACTAGGGTAAAACAGTTATCTAATATTCCTTTGTTTCCACTGGTTATCTTACAGATTTCGATACCGATTTTATTCTCATTGGTCATAAGTAACAAACGGTATAATAACGACAATAAGTAATTTAAATTTGTCCTGTCGATTTTAGAGTAAGAAGACTTTGGTACAGTCAGGGTTGACTAACTGTTGGGAGTTTTTTTGTGTGTATGTGTTTTTACCACTGTTTGACCACAATGAAACTTAGTTTTGGATGGTTTCTATATCCTGTAAGGTAGTCATTACGTTAAAATCCTGTTGCACTGTTAATATGCTGATGTGTTTCATCTTTTACAGGGACCAGTGTTTGATTGTCAGCAGTAAAGAAGTTACTTTCACCTTAACTCTTCTGGTATATACTCTGCTGCTAATACTACCTTAGATTAGAAGCCTGAAACACTTTAGCTGAAGGTCGAGTAACTAAGCCTGTGCAGCTTTTATCTTCCTTTCTATTACCTTAGCATATTTTCACATAATACAGGTGTAGACCATGTACAGCATCTGTAAGATGGTATAAGTGAAGTAAATCGTATTTTTTGTGCGTCGGTGGCATAGTGGTTAGGACGCTCGCCGACCATGCACATGGTCCGGGGTTCGATCCCCGGCCACAGACGCACTCCTTTACCTCGCTAAGCCAGAAATAATGCTGGTGAAGAGGAAAGGTTGGGCATGAGGCTAGCAACCCCCTCCTGTAAAAATAATCACTGCTAAAGAAACTTCAAGCCACTAGCTTGAAGCTCTATGTTCCAGTGGGGAACGTGAAGGAAATAAAAAAAATCGTACTTTTATTCGGTTGAGGATGCAGTCTGAGATGAGCATTTCTCCCTTTCCCTAACCTAGTCATCCAAATGCACCCAAATGAGAGATTTTTAAGCGATGGATGTTTGTTTCGAGTCTCATTCAAAACACAGTCATTCACTAGTAGAAGTACAATGAGATGATGAGTACCAAGTGTAAGACGACAAACACATTCTGGATTCCACTGATAGTCGCCTTTAACTGTATTGTGCGAGAAGAGAGGCATAGGTTGGACCGACAAGAGGAATCTAGACGATTTGGATTTCGTGGACGATTTAAGTCTAATTGCGCACAGAATCGAAGATGTGTAGGTGAAAACCGACAAGTTGACATAAGAGACAACCAACGAAGACAGGACTTCAAATGAACATCTAAATGAGCCAGCTAAAAAGGACTGTGGAGAAAAAGATGAAATGGAGATGTGCTGCTGAGTTGTATGTTCAACTAGGAATTGTCAGGGCATCGGTATGAGGAGCTGACGTATCAACAGACACTGAACATGTCAGTGTAATGAAATCAACTAGCTGTTATTATTATTCCTTTGGTTTGCAAGTGGAAAATAGGGCTTCAACGACACATCTCCACTTTCTTCTCTTCTCTGCCATCCTCTTCAGCTGAACCAATGATTGCCCAAACTCTCTCATCTCCTGCTCGCTTGATCTCCTCCATGTCACCCTAGGACGACCCGCTCGTCGCTTCCCATTGCGGTTCCTCTTGAGCTATGGCCTGGTGCGAGATGTCATTCGATGGTTTCCTTAATGTATGCCTGATCCATCCCCATTCTCTCGTACATATTTGTTGAGCGATCGGGTCTTGGTTGGTTTATTCCCAGACAGAGTTTCTTGTTGCTGATTCTTTTGGGCCGGCCGGTCATTTGATCTTCAGTATGGAGCCAGCGAAGTTGGCAACTGTTGATAAAAGTATGTAACCTGTTGGAAACACTTTTTGTGACATGCAATGCAAGTTTCTGATCCGTAAAGAAGAATTGACTAACTGACTGACTTCACAATTGTGTTGAAAATGCGAATCTTGTTGCTGATGCTGGTTGAGTGCAGAAGATTTTCAAACTGGTTTCAGGTTGATGAAGGCGTATCTGGTGTTTCCGAATTTGGCTTTGATACCTTGATCCGTTCCGCCTGTAGTTGAACAGATGCTTTCTAGATAAGTGAAGCAAGTAACTTGTGTCAAATCTGTCCTGTTGATGGTGATTGGTGCTGGTTGTTGTTGCTGGCGATGGCTGTTTGTCTTCATCACCTCCATTTTCTCTATGTTCATCTGGAGTCCTGTCTTCTCTGGCTGTTTCTTTAACCAGTTGGTTGTCGCTTGTAAGTCTCCAGGTTTGTTTGACGTTAGGCATAAATCATCTGCGAAATCCAGATCTTCTAGAGTCTTTTTATCGGTGGTCAAGAGTATTCCTATCTCCTCGCTCCCCAAAGTCTGGTGCATAATCCAGTCAGTCCACCACAATTAAGAATACTGTTGATGATAACAGGCAGCCAGCTTTGTCTTACCCCTGTATGTGCTTCGAACGCATCTGAGTTTTCCGTTGTTGATCACCTGATACGTGGCACTGTCATATAGCTGTTGAGTGAGGCTGAGAAAGACTTGGGCACTGCCTGCCGTAGTGTTGATTTTTGAAATCAACTAGCGGAAAGCTGTAAATAATAATAATTGTAAAAAAAGAAATCAGTATGTTTGAAAAAATCTAATAAGACAGAAGGAACAACATTGGAGCAGAAAATTAACATTTATCCAGTTTATTTCTTATTTTCTCTTCAGGCACATACAACTTTTAATATTTTTGGTAAAATTAGTCATAATATAATTTTAGCATTCTTTTGTTAATCAATTCTACTACCGTGACCTGAGTTTCTATTTCAGTTTGTTTGTTTTATGACCTTGGTAAATGAGACCATTCTACTGGACCGTGACTTTTTCAGATAGTCTAATCACAATTACCATTCACTTGCTGTAGTTACTTAATTAAGCATGACTACTACTAATGTTTAGAATGAGAGAATGTGTTCCTGGTGGACGAACACCTTCATAGTTTAGGAGTAGTTTTTCATAAACACAATACACGAAGACATCTTCATTCTTCCATTCTCTAATGAGTGTATGTTCCGTGAGGGACATATCGCTTCAGTAGCACATCTCCATTTTTATGCCTTCTCTGTATTCTTTTTCGTTAGCTGGTTGCACGATCGACCATAAGCTTTCCT